GGTTTAGAGGGTTCAGGGTTTGGGGTTGAGGGCCGTGCAGGGCTCATATGAACAGCAAGGGTTGAGGGCATTCCGTTTGGCTTTGATCGGCTCTTTTGCTCTGCCCACAGGCAGCGTTTTTGCGTAGGGCACACGGTCGGACATGTGCACCCTTACTATTTGTGGAGGAACTCCCTGGCATTCCTGATTGACGTGACGGTGTCAGGGCCTATGGGCCTAGGAGTAGACTATGTTGATGATATAAATCCTGCATTACCTTAACCCTAAACCCTAAACCCTAAACCCTAAACCCTAAACCCTGAACCCTAAACCCTGAAGGAGGCCGCCTTGCATCGTCTTGCAGGACGTCGCCCTTCCGGGTCAGCCGCTGCCTTCACATCTTTGCCAGGCAAGGAGCTAGGGAGATGCTTTGGGGGTTTAGACCTAAACCCTAAACCCTAAACCCTAAACCCTAAGTTCAGGGTCTCAGGGTGAATGAAGGGTTTAAGTTTAGTGGGTTTAGGGCTTTTGCGCGGGGTGTAGGGTCTAAGGGTGAAGGGTTTAAGTTTTGTGGGTTTAGGGCTTTGGGGTTTGGGGCCGAAGAATTAGCCAGGCAACGAGTGTAGGCTATACAGCTATACAGTACAGGGGCCTTAGCTGTTGGAGAAGGGGTTTAGGGTTTGGGGTTTGGGGGTTTAGGGGTCTAGGGTTTAGGGTTTAGGGTTTAGGGGATTCCTGTAAAGAGTTCCACTAGAAGGGGTCTTATAAGCGTTACTTTCAAGGCTGTGCTTAAGGTGTAGTAGAGGGGCCTTAGCAACATAGTGTTGCGGCATGTTGTATTGTACTCTAAGTCACAAGCATACTCAAGAACCCTGAGGAAAAGTATTTCGCTTTTGCACCCATGATAATTTCGGCTGAGCTTGCTGGTGGATTCAGGGTTTATGGGTTTCAGGTTTTTGGCGCTTCTGTTTTCAGGGTTAAGGGCTTTGGGTGCGCGAGTTGGGCCATCTTCAGCCGACTGCTGGGCTAAGCCGGGCTCTTTAAACTGTCGGACACTACGCAGTGCGGTTTTAAGGCTAAGGGTTTAGGTTTTAAGGTTTAGGGTTGTCGCAGAGTTGATTCGAACCTAAAATTCCCACCAGAACGATTCGACGTTCCTCCCCCAGAAGCCTTCTTAGTTCTACGCGCGTCACTACGTAGCTAACGAGCCCCATGCAGACCGTGTATACCCCGGCCCATCTCGACTCCCGACATATAGAGCCCCTCCAAAACAAGGTAGAAGCCCGTTTTCTAGACTCCGAGTAATATGGGTAGTTCTCTAAGTTAGGGTCCCTTTTGGGGCCCCTAATATAGTACGGCACCCCTTATAAAGAGGACCCCCCAAAAGGGACCCTAAATTAAGAAAGCTGCCCATACAACATAGAGATGGTACAAGCCAGGGCTCCCTAAACCCAGGAAACTCATGGGTCGGGGCGGTCCTGAATCTCGGCACCTTGCAGAGCGGCTCCAGATGCTTCTTCAGAGCCCGGGCGTCCTGAGGTTCAGGGTTTAGGGTTTAGGGCGGTTTCGAGCGGTTTTTGTTGTTCGGGCTTGCTTGAAAAGCTTATGGCTTTTCAGGCTTCCGTGATTGAGCCCTAACCCCGCAACCGCAAACCCGAAACCAAAACCCCCAAAACCCATAAACCCCTAAACCCAAACCCCCCAAAACCCTAAACCCCTACACCCCTAAACCCAAACCCCTACATCCGAAACCTTGAACGACTGGTGTCATTCGCATATCAGGGTTTGAGGTTGGAGCTGAATGCCATCTGCTTGTTTCTCCGAGCAAGGCATGCCATCTGTCTCATTGGGGTGTACCCTTTCAGGGTTTAGGTCTTGGGATTTAGGGTTTTCAGGGGTTTAGGGCTGAGGCCTTATGTAGGGTTCAGTGTCACCACTTTGTTTCTGACGACCTGTGCCATGTGGATCAGGGAGCAGAGAAGGGAAGGTTTGCAACACGTAGAAAGAGATGCAAAGCACATGCCACGTTCCCTTTGTCCACTATACAGAAGCCACGGTGTATCTGAGGGCATCGTAAACCCTGAAGGCTCAACATAGCTGAAAATCCTCATGCAGTCTAGTCTTTAGCTCCAAAAGCCTTGAAATCTGAGTCCTTAGAGCCTTCGGGGAACGAATCTACGCACCTCCATCCGAGATGCATTGCCTTAATTGTAGGTACATTAGGCAGGCTTTTCTTCTGCCCGGTGGTGGCACGGAGGGGGCCGCAGACTCTGTGACACTGTGATATCTTTGTGAAGGATGCTTCGGGCTGCTCATCCAACCATCCTCGAGCCCCAGCGGCCAAGGCATGAATGAGTACATTCTCAACTTTTACAGAAGTCTAGATTCCAGAGCGAATGACTATTTTCAAGAAACCCAACTCCAGAAACCCTAAACCCTAAACCCTAAACCCTAAACCCTAAACCCTAAACCCTAAACCCTAAACCCTAAACCCACCCAACTCCAGAATGCATGACTCTTCACCAAAGTCTTGACCATCAAGCTCACGAACTCCCAACCCAGCTAGAGGCGTCTGCCGCTACCAGCCCGAACGCCGTCAGGGAACCCCACAGGAACCCGGCCCTAAACCCGAAAACCCCTAAACCCTAAACCCTGAACCCTAAAACCCAAACCCGAAACCCTGAACCTCCAAACCCCCCCTTTCAACACCCTGGCAGGTCCTGAAAATCCTCCGGATTCACTGCGGCGATCTCCTGCCTAAGAAGTAGTCGACGGCCGAAGGAATAGTTTAGGGCTCCTTTAAGGGCTCCTTTAAGGGTTCCTTTAAGAGCTCCTTTAAGGGTTCCTTTAAGAGCTCCTTTAAGGGTTCCTTTAAAGGGCTCCTTTAAGGGTTTAAGGTTTTAGGAGCCTCGGGAGGTTTCAGGGTTTAAGGTTTACGGTTTATAGGGGTTGAGGGTTTATGTACGGGTTTACTCATAGGCCCCATAGTGGTTCCTTTTTGGGATTACCTTATAGGATTCTATATATGAACCCCCGAAAGGAACTACTTTAGGGCCGGGTAGGGCCTAGGGTGGAAGGGTTTTCACGCACAGGGCATGGGTTTGTATTTATGGCCTTGAGCTCCAGGCTAGAGCACAGGTTGCTGGGTTGAGTGGAACTCTAGCGATGTCTTCATGACCATCGACTTCCACAGCTTCTCGATGGAAATGTGGATCATTGCAGCCTTGATCAACTCAAAACCAAAGAAGCCTTCCTTCACATCTCACGGTGTCCACAAGCTACGCAAGCACTAAAACTTCAAGCTCAATGCCGAAACCCACATGCACCAGTCTCAGCATGGGCCCAGTTGCCCAGCGACCGTCCATATCCGCAGTGACCCGCCGGTAGTGGCAACGGGTACGGCTTTTTTGGGCATGGTCGTCGTCGTCTCAGGATCTAAGGGTCGTCAATAACATGCGTAAACATGGAGTACAGAAATACATGGTCCATGGCAGACGTAAGTGCGTGTGCACGTCTCATGGCTATGGCTTCTTTCCTCTGACTAGATATCATAAGGAGTCATTGCTAGGCCAAGGGTCTAGGAATTGCTGCAACTGCAGCTTGCAAGCTCAACCACTGCATCATCCGAACTGCCTGCAGCATCAGTTTGGCCAATATCCTTGTTGCTCCAATATCGTTGTAGGTGTGCCATGAAGTTTTTGAAGCTGTTGCCGCTCCGCCTGTCATGTTGTCAAGTACGCTGCTGTGTTGTGAGAGAAGCCGCAGCGGCACCGGAAGTGATTTCCCCTAAACCCTAAACCCTGAACCTCAGAACCCTGAAGCGATGCAAAACTCCCGAAAATACAGGCCAGATCCCAGATCCGAAGAAAATCCCTAAACCCTAAACCCTTATAGTATCCCTTATAGAACCCTTGAAGGAACCCTTTAAAGGAAGATCCGAAGGAAAGAGCTTGGCCCCTTGCAGAGCAGCCCTCGCGTCAAGGGGGGTTCGTTCGGGGAAGATGCGTGCACAGGTTCAGGGTTTAGGGTTTAGGGTTTAGGGTTTAGAGTCATCAGAAGTTGCAACACTGACGCAGAGGGTTTAAGCAACAAGCTTCATGTACATTGACCCTACAAGACCGACTATTTCTACCTAGTACGTAGAATGTAAGATCCAATATCCTAACTGACAATCCGAAACCCTATCACCCTTGTCCTGCAACCCCCAATGCTCCTAAACCCTAAACCCAGCGGCGAGGTACAGATCCCAGAGTGCACAAGGCAAATACAAGAGTGCAGCCTCGAACGCGGCGGCCATGAGATTTCGAGGCTTCTGAAATTCTGAAAGGCCCCTAAACACTAAACCCCGAAGCCCCGAACCCCCTAAACCCTAAACCCCAAAAAAACCCTAAACCCCAAACCCTAAAACCCCCCCTAACCCCTGAATCTTGCAGGCTTCAGGGCTTCCGAACTCCGAGGTTTTTTTCACGGCCCTACACGACCCATGGACTCCAGGGTACGGCGTTGGCTCCCTGGGCCATGTCACTGAGAGTACATATTCTTTGGGGGTTCCTTTAAAGGGATCCTTAAAGGGTTCTAAAAGGGATCTATAATAAAGTTCTATATTAGGGGCCGTAGGGTTTGGGGTTTAGATTATATATTACTGAGAGTTTTTTTCAGGTGAGACTCTGGAAGCACCGAGAGCATGGGCTAGAGACAGTCAGCAGCAGAGACAGGGAAGTAAGGCACACCTGGAGAAGTGAAGCGCTTGCTTTCCCGATTCGAGTTCATTTAGACTGACTTGTCCTTTGAGAACTATCACTCTCTGTTGCTGTTGCTCTTGGCCTCTGCGCCCAAAGCTCTCGACGCTGATCAAGGAAAGGTTTACGGGAAAAAACTTGCGGGAGCCCTTCGGCAGAAATCATAGGCTGCCGACGAGTGTGATGAAAGCAGGATGAAAGCCTCCGGCCATGCGGAAGAAGGCCCCTGCAACGAAGTGCAAGAGCAAAGTCCAGAAAGCTCAGAACAGGACAGACTCATCTTCAAGCGTCGCATAGACACATATACTGGATTGCTCTGAACCAGGCATCACTGATCTCCTCTGCAACCCTCGCCGGGTCCGACATGTCTTTGTCTATGATCCGCACCAAGTCGCTCCGAAATACCAAAGCATTTTGTGCCTGACCTTCCTCATCTTTGGGGCAGGGTGGAAACTCATGGCAGAGCTGGATTGGCAGAATAGCAAGCTTGTTCTGATGCGCATACTCGAGCTCTATATAGGTTTCATACTGTGCGCCAGTTTTCTCTCCATAATCCCTTGTGCAAAAAGTCAGCAGGGCTTTGGCCCTGTACAGGAGCAGCGCCGTCTGGTTTCCGAATCTGGCGCCAGCAAAGTCGGCCTTCACCATATCCACTGGCACAGATCTGGCACAAAGTGCCTCCTTGACATGCCTCATGTAGTTCATTTTGTGCTGGTCGTTGAACCGCCCAGAGATCATCAAGTTCTTCCGTTGTGAAGTCTGAGGTCCGGTGGGTGGTGGGGGAGGTGGCGGAGTCGGGATGTCCGTCTGATGCTCTTCAGCTGGAGGCGGTGGAGGTGGTGGAGGAGGCGGTAGCACCTGCCACGGCGATAGCGGAGTGTGAACTGATGGGATTTAGGGTTGTCGGGGGTTGTGGGCGCGTCATCGCCGGGCTCTTGTTACTTTCAGCGCGGAGTTGCATGTAACTCAGAAAGGGGAGCTCAAACCAAAGCCCAGCCCCACGACCCTCAGCCCCACACAGAGCACAAGCCTGCACAAGTAGGCTGCTGTCCTCGCCACCGTCGGCGCGAGCCTCAACCGCCATAGAGAGACGGGGTTGGAGTGAAGGCCTTCAGCCCTGACCTAAGGCCCAGACCATACATCCTAAACCCTAAACCCAAACTCAAAACTACCTATAGTCTCCATTGTAGTTCCTTTTTCTGGTTCAGCCAAACTTGTATTATTGGATCCCACCCATACAGGTTAAACAAAAGAGGAACCACACAGGTACATACGGCTAAGGTCTGAAAGGACCACAGATCGTACCTATAGCCTTCCCTGAAACCTGTAGGTGAATACAATACGGTTTAGGGTTTAGGGTTTAGAGGTTTAAGGGTTTAGGGTTTAAGGTTTATCCGGTCCCTCTATAACTCTACAAGAGAATATACAAGTCTACCATGGCGAGCACTAAACTTGCCAAAACCTTTGTTGCTAGGACTTACGCAAGCTGTAGATGATTGTAACAAACTCTAGACCAGCCGTAAACCCACAAACCAAACACAGGTGATGATTACAAGTCCTGCCCCCAACACAAAACATCACAAAACCCCACACCGCTTGTTCATAAGTATTCAACCTAGACTGTAAACCCTAAACCCCCAAACCCTAAACCTACCCTAAACCCTAAACCCCAAACCCTAAACCCCAAACCCTAAACTCCAAACCCTAAACCCACAACCCCTAAACCCCAAACCCTAAATTTTGTAGGACTTACTGTTGATGGACACAATCCTGCATGACCCTATATACCTAAACTATGGCTAACTATGGGATTTATGGTACTATACTATATTTTGGTCATGCAGAATTTCGTCCATCAACAGTATGAAAGCTCCGAAAGACATCCCGCCCGGCCTCAGGGTGCTCGCTGTCTCACGGGAGCTTCCCTCTAACAAGCTTTCCATCCCTGCATTGCAGAGACATGAAGCGTTTAGGGTTTAGGGGGTTTAGTAGGGTTTAGCTTTTAGGAGCTTAGGGGTGTAGAGTTTAGGGTTTAGGGGTTTAGGGGTTTAGGGGTTTAGGGGTGTGGGGGTTTAGGGGTTTAGGGGTTAGGGTTTAGAAGTTTAGGATTAGGGTTGGGTTTCGGACTTTACGGTTTAGGGATTAGGATGTATAGGGTGTAGGGCCGGGTTTAGCAAGGTTTCGGGTATGGTTTAGCGTTTTAGGGTTTGGAGCGACAGGATTGGTTGTCTTATTGTTTAGGGTTCAGGGTTTCATATCGGGTTCGATATGGATATTTATCTGGTTTCACGACATGGCCTTGGGTCTCTAAAGGCTTTACTAGCATTCAGGAGCATGGGGTCTTGGGAAAAAGCTTTGAGGTACAGGGTTCATGTCAGGTTAACCATACAAGCCTTAAGCACTAAACCCACAGCCCTCAACCCTGAACCCTAAGACCTTTGCCCTAAACCCTAAATCCTGAGCCCTAAAGCCTAAAGCCTAAAGCCTATATAAACCCTAAACCCAAGACCGAACCCTAAGCCCTAAACCCTAAACCCAAGGCCTTAAACCCTAAACCCCAAGCCCTAATCCCTAAACCCTGAGCCTAAACCAAGCCCGGAGCCCCAAGCCCTTCATGTCTCTGTGCACTGCCGGACGGAATGCATAAGCCCGACCTCGACCCTACGGATGATATCAATCTGCAGTATTCATAATATGAAATATACCATAATTCCCATAGTTCAGGGTCCACTTAAAGTAATGCAGGATTTATACTATCAACAGTATGACCCGCCCAAACGCTAACCGCTCAAGTTTTGGGGCTTAGGCTTGCCTTGACCCTCCAACTGCCCTCTATTCTGCCCTATTTCGCCCCACAAGGCCGTAGAGTGCTCGTCGCTGAAAAGCGACGGGTTCATCAGCTCCACAAATCGAGCTACATGCACAGCCATAAGCTTTGGAAGGAAGAAGCATGTTTGCTGTATGTCCAGGCGGCTCTCATCTGCATCCGCGGCCTCCAGTCGCAGGCACGCATAGCGGTATCTGGCAGAGTGTTCTATATACAACGCATCTACAACGCGTGAATCCGTGTTCTTCGGCAGCGCCCGGTGGCTCGATGGTGCTTACCAAGCACATCTGAGCCCATGTTCACGAGGCCACCCAGCAGCACCATCTTTTGAACAGCAAAGGCTGACGTCCGAAGAAGCACTGAAGTATTGCACGTCTACAGATTAAGGACCATAAGGACCCTATGAAAGGGGTCCTGGAGACCCAGACCTTACGGTTCCATGAACCCGTCCCAGGCACAGAAACCTGAGCGTCCTTCCAAACCAGAGCATAACTTTATCCTGGAGGATTTAGGGTTTCGGGCCTAGGGTTTAGCGTGGTAATCCGGACTACGCGCATATACTCATGTTGAGAATGAAAAACTACTTCAGAAAGATGGTTTATGGCCTACGGAGCCTGAGAGACCCTACCTGGATCCTGCAATGTAGCCGTGTTTAAGGTTAGGATCCGAAAAGAAACCACGGAAACCAGAGTAGTACTGTCAAGGGTCTAGGTCCACCTCCAAGGGCAAAGGGTCCAAAAGACTTAATGTAGGGGCTTTAACAATTAGAATGGGGTTTTGGGGTATATTATACTCTAGATATATTATAGTAAGGAACCCCCAAACCAGTTTAGGCAGTATAGGCACTTATTGAGGCCCCTATATTAAGACTTGTGTCAAGCCCTCTCGCCTGGACCTTCCTCATCCGACTCAATCACCTGGCAGACGGGACTTTTGTTTGGTTTACCTTACGGAAGAATCGACCCCTAAAAGGGTTTTTGATTGATATACCATATAGAGATTCATAGTATCAGGGTACAGGGCCCCTACTTTTAAGGGTCATCTCGTCTTTCCAATGTCCAGCTCGGCCCTCCGATGCCTCTGGCGAAGCTTTCTTCGAGCGCAGTGCCCGACCAGCCGCACCCACAGGCCCACGGGAAGCCAGGGAAGCGTCCTGGTAAGCTCCCAATTAGGGTTCAGGGTTTGGGTTTGG